ACGACCAACAAATGTAAAATTGAGGAAAAATATATATATATATATATATATATTTAATTTCGACGAGACAAATCTTTCAGATGATCCTCGAAAAAAGGTTGTTTTAGTTCGAAGAGGAAGCCGACGTGTTGAAAATATCCAAGAACATAGTAAAACTTTGATATCTATTATGTGGTGTGGCTCTGCTTTTTATTTATTTATTTATTTCGTCATATATAAGCATTTTACAATGTTCTCGTTTCCAAGTTTAATAAAATAAATCAAAATATAAAGAATGACAGGAGCAAGTAGAAGACATAAGTCTTGTCGTCAAGCCATATAAAGCAAGTTAAAATAACAATAATAAAATAAAATTTGCTAAATTAAATAAATAAAGTAAAGAAATTTAAAAAATTAGCTTTACAAGTTTTTTCAACAAAAAAATAAATAATCATTTTATATAGCAAGTTAAAAATAGCTATACTATAATAAGACTTCTAAAGTAAAATATAGAAATAAAATATATATAATAATTATTTACATTTTTTTTGTGTCATTATCTCATTATATACAAATACTCATTATATAAAGCAAATCGATATAAACTTTATTGTAATAAGATAAAAATACTTCAAAAGTAAAGTAAAAAGCAAAAAAAAAAAAAAAAACAGCAAGAAAAACAAATAAGTAACGTAAAAAAAAATTAAATTTTAAAACTAAAAATATAAAAGTATGTTTGTATCTGTTAAGTCGAGCAAATTCTGTTTAACTACATTTTTAAAAGATTGTACTAAGGTTATACTTTTCATTTTGTCGTCAAGAATTCTGTTCCATAGACGAGGTCCTCTATATGAAATTGAGTAATCTGTTTTTTTTTTATGTTGACTTAGGTAAGTTAAAATTGTGAATTTTAAGCACCTCGTTAAGTATTTATGAGAAATAATTGAAAAATGATTGTTAAAGAATTTAGGAAGCATGTCGTTTTGATACTTAAACATAAATAATAGGTTTTGGTACGAATTTAACTCATAGACGTTTAAAGCTTTGATTTTACGGAGTAACGGTTAGGCGTGGGCACATTTATGCATAATACATATAACTCTACTGGCTTGTTTTTGTTTTATATATATTTTCTTTAATGCTGATGAACAAGTACTGGCCCAAGCAATGTTTCAGTAGCTAATGTAACTATGAATAAAAGAGTAGTATATATCTTTTAAGCATTTTTTACTTAGTAGGTGTTTTGTTTTATACATAATGCCTATTGTTTTAGAAATTTTGTTTTTAACGAGTGTAATATGAATTTTCCAATGATGAATTCCAAGATGTTCATCAAATATTGCTCCCAGGATTTTCATTGACACGACTCTTTTTACAATAATTCTGTTTATGACTAACTGAGGAAGTTGAAGAGGCAAACTATCTGACTTAGATGGCTTAGGAAATAAAACTTATTTAGTTTTACTAATATTTAAAAAGAGTTTGTTTGCTTTGAACCAATCCTCCAGGTTTGTCAGCTCACGATTTACTATGGTAAAAATTGTTTTAATATTAGAGTCGGAGTAAAAAATAGTAGTACCATCTGCGAAAAGGATAAAGTTAAGCATATCTGAGGAACGGTATATGTCATTCACATAGATTAGAAACAGTAGGGGTCCTGGATTGTGTCCTGGAGTTACAGTAGAGAAACAGTAGGGGTCCTAGAGTGTGTCCTGGAGGGGTCCTGGAGGGGTGCTTCTGGAGTAATGCAACCACCTATGATAGTTTACAAAGCATTGAATGTATATCAAGGTTGGGTGACAGAAAAGCCACAGGGAACAACCTACAGTTGTACAAAAACAGGTTGGTTTGATATGGAAACCTTTGAGAAATGGTTTAAAGCATGCTTCTTGCCAATCTTTCAGCATATAAATGGGCCCAAACTACTTTTAGGAAATAATTTGGCCTCTCATTTTAATGCAGACGTTATAAAACTAGCCAAGGAGCATAATGTTTACTTTGTTATGTTGCCACCAAATGCCACACATATAATGCAACCATTAGATGTTTCTGTCTATGGTCCTATGAAACGTTGTTGCAGGCAAGTATTAATTGAATGGAAGAAACAATGGAAGAAAATCTAGATGTTTTCCTAAAGAACATTTTCCAGGTGTATTGAAAAGTTTATCTTTTAAGTTACAACACACTATATGTCAAAATTTAGTTTCTTGATTTCATACATGTGGAATATATCCAATAAATCATATGATCGATTTAAAAAAGATGCCCGAGTTCCAGACGCCAGAAGCATTGACAAAAACTATTTTAAACGATTCATTAACTACTTTGTTAATGTCTAATCGCGGCGCATATGAAACAAACATTACATCAACTAAACATTACATCTGGGGCAGTTTTAAATGTTGTTGCAGATAATAACACTGATATTTGTTTACCTGTGGAAAAGAAGACGACAAAGAAATCATTGAAGAAGAAGAGGAAGTTTGAGTTGATTAAACTGGCTGTAAACGTTGCGGTCGTTGGTATCATTCAAAGTGTTTGGAAGATGCTATGTCAATTGAGTGCATCGTATGCCAAAAATAATAATTTGTCTTGTATTTTTTAAAAAGGCAAAATGACTTCTGTATTATTCACTTTACAGTAATGAGTAACTTAAATGTATAATCCTAATAAAAAATATTGATTCTTAATTATTATTTATTATATATAAATATATTTAAAACAGTTAGTTTATCAATAGTTTTGTTTTTGTTCTGTTATATAAAATAGGACTGTTCTCTTTAAATGAAACAGCTTTTTGTCATAGTAAGATACATTCTACTAAGCTACATGTTACTAAACTAATGTTGAACTCATTGAAGTTAGAAATTCAACTTTTAAATTCCTATCATTAAGCGTCCGGAGTTTTCCAAATTTGATTTTTAAATTTTCAAACCGTTTATTTAAGGTAATAATCTAAAGAAGAGCTTAAAACCAGTATGTCTTTATGTTCATCATTATTAGAGTGTTCGATTAACACAAAATGAAGCATTTTGAATTGCTTTTAAAGAAACAGTCAAACATTTTATATCTAAAATCGTCCGGAGTTACCCCGGTTATGTTGAATATTAAATTTTATTTTAATTCCGAATTATTAATACATTTGCGTCGGCGAACTCTCGTATCTAAATTTCAACGTAATTTCAACGTTATTTCAACGTTAATTCAACATTAGTTTATAGTTGAAAATCAGATTGAATCAATGTTGAAATTTCAACACTTTTTTTTAACGTTGAACTAACGTTGAAATAACGTTGAAATTTAGATCGTTATTTTTCCACCATATATCAATCATTTCTCAACGTTGAAAAAACATGCTAATATATAAAATACTTACATAAATATTAAAAAAAAAAATTCAATTCTATTAAAAAAAAAAAGCATTATATAATTAAGAAGTCAAAACTTTTGTTGTTCATGAAACCTTCACAAACAAAACTCACGATTCAACGTGTATAAAGTTGCCCAAGGCTCTACTCTTGGACCTTCACTGACACTGATCTTTTTTATTCTTACTCCAATATAAAAACAGTTTTCTCTAGAGAAAATCATGAGCCGAAAAACGTAAATGACTGGTTAATATCAAACAATCTCTCTTGGAATTAGGAAAAAAAAAAACATTTTGTTAACAATCTAAGTTCGATGAGTTGTCTTTTAAACTTCATTAGCTCTAGCTATTTAGATTGAAAAGATTTTTACTTATAAGTAAAAAATTATTTAAAATAATAATTTTATAACTGTTTACATAATTATCATAAAAAATCATTAATTATGATTTCATTATTAGTAAACTATGATGATTATTGGGTTAATTTGCTAATTAACAAATAATACAATAAATCCAGAAACTATATTATTTTTTTATATAACAAATCAACACCGTTAAACCAACATTAGTAAACAGATGATAGTTGGATTAATATTTTTATTTAAATAATTTTTTTTTTTGTAAGTAAAGTTCCTATGAAAATCTACTGAGTTGTTGAAATCAATCGAATTTATGGAACTGAATCAATAAAATAGATAAAACCTTGATTTTAATTTGATGTAAACCTATATATGATTTTTTTTTTTTTTAAGTCTACTATTAACGAGTTTTATACAAATAAAGAAAAGTTATGAGACTCATTTTGTTATTAAGTGTAAATTATATGCGATTAAAGTTCTTTCATTATATACATTAAATCAACAATGCCATTAAATACAATAATTCTAATGCTTTTGTTTTTCTAACGCTTTATTCTTAGTTTGTATTAATAGATAATTGCAGTTTAAAGATATATTTATAATGCTTGTATTGAATTTTGAAACATTTTAAATACTTGTAAATAACCTTACTGTTTGATACTATACCCGTACCAAACGATTAACTTATGCATTAAAAATTATTTAGTATTTCTCTAAACAAAAATGGAACAACAAAGTCAAAAACCATCATCAAAAAGTATCATGCAAATTGGCACTGGCTTTTGGGCTTCGAAAGTACTTTTGGGTGCAGCAAAATTGGAGCTTTTCACAAAACTTGCAGAAAAAAAATCAATGTCAGCCTATGAAATAAAATCAAGTTTAAAGTTAAACTGTACCGACCGAAATTTGTTTGATTTTTTAGACACACTTACAACATTTGGTTTTTTAGAGAGAGAAGGTTTACTTGATACTGCAGTTTATTCAAATAACATAAACACAGATTTTTTTTTGGATAAAAAGAAACTTACTTATATTGGTGGAATGCTAGAAATGCTAAACAACAGATTGTATGACATTTGGGGTAACTTTGAAGAAGCATTGTTAACAGGATGTCCACAGAATGAAGCAAAGAATGGAGGAAATATTTATGATTTTTTATACTTAGATACAGTAAAATTAAATGATTTTATACATTCAATGAGTGGTTTACAGATGGAGAACTTCATTCTCTTAGCCCAAAGCTTTGATTTTTCAAAATACAAAACATTAGTTGATATAGGCGGTGCAGCAGGAATATGGTTGCAAAAAATCACTCTCATATGAGCTGTATTTCTTGGGATCTACCTCCAGTAACTCCGATTGCTAACGAAGTTATTGAAAACTATCAATTGCAAGATCGTGTAAAAACAATTTGCGGTGATTTTTTCAAGGACGAATTTCCAAAAGCCGATATCATAACAATGGGAAACATTTTACATATTTGGGATGAAAAAACCAAGTTGATGTTGTTTAAAAAAGCTTACGACGCTTTGCCAGAAGGTGGAGTTTTTATTGCTATCGAAAATGTAATAGATGACGAACGAAAGAAGAATGCTGGTGGTTTGTTAATGAGTTTGAATATGTTAGTTGAAACTGGAGCTGGTTTTGACTACACATTTGCTGATTTTAATATATGGTCTAAAGAAGTTGGATTTAAATCAACATCGATTATTCCTCTTTCAGGGCCAACAAGTGCTGCAGTAGCTTTTAAATAAAGCACGTTAGTATTAGTTTAAATAATATTGGTGTTACATTTTTTCTAACATTTCACATTCAATACATTTTAAATTTTTTTACCATGAAATTATTAAACAATGTAAAGTGTTTAAAAAAAGCAATTATAATATTTTGTTTCACAACTTCATCGTGATTAAAATTGTTTCTTATAAGTTAACTGTTACTAGTACCATGAGCCACAAAGTTAGTTGTAAAGATTATATATATATATATATATATATATATATATATATATATATATATATATATATATATATATATATATATATATATATATATATATATATATATATATATGTAAATGGTTTGGTTGGTTTGAAGTATAACTTTATACATAACTATAGTTAAAAAAATTGATGTAGTTAACAGTCAACAAGTAATGTGTCCTGTAATACGGCATTAATTTCCGTACGTGGAAAAAGGAGGAGAATTAGAATGCAAATAACCTCCCCCTTTTTTTTTATCAAGTGCTCTATTTTCTTTTTTGCAAATTTTGTTAAGAAAATAAAAAAAAATTATTTATTTGGTATTCTAAACTGCCATATTTTTTTAAAAACAATCTCTTTAAACTCGATCTTTTTTATCAAAGTATTAAAAAAAAATTAATTAATAATGTGCTTGGTGGTATTTTCTATCTTATTTAAAAAAAATAGTTTAAAATTTTAAAAAAATAATAAAGTTATTTGATTTTTATTGTTCGGTGATCTGTTTGACCCGCTTGACTCTAGTCCTTGAAGATATAATTTTGTTTGTTTGTTTTTGTGATTATTTTTTTGTTATTTTGAGTTTTATTAAGCCCTGTTAATATATATTAGAAGATTCAACCTTTATTTACTTTATTTAACAAAATATTACTCACTGTTAATTATTTGGGTTTTAGTCTAGGCGCTAAGCCGAAGCGCCGAATATTCGGTGATATTTGGTTATTTTGAGGGTTCTGATTAGAGGTGTACCGGATATGATATCCGGCCGGATAATACGGCGAAAATGCCGGATAATCCGGTCTCCGTTGTAAATAAAGTTATTTGATTCCGATACATCATATATCCGGTCGGATATAGCCGGATATGTAATTTTTGAGATTATCTCTTATCCCACTTGTGTACATACTTTTATAACAATTAGGAATTAACTGTTTTGAGTAATTTAATTAATAAAAGAAAGATTACGTATTATAGTGAAATAATATACCGTAGTATATTATTTTACTATAAAAGTAAAAGAAAAAAAGAAATGAAAACTTTTGAACAACAAAGTAAAGGCTTGATTACAAATAAAAATAACAGTTACAATAACTTAAAAATGTTAAAAGTATAATATATTATACTCTATATATATATATATATATATATATATATATATATATATATATATATATATATATATATATATATATATATATATATATATATATATATATATATATATATATACACACATAAAATAAGCTACATTTACAATAGATAAAATGCTAATAATAATTTTATATGAAAGTTAACATTTTTTAAGTTAGTTATTTTCAAACTTAGTCGTATATAGTACTAATTAAATGTAATAATTACTTATTACATTTAATAGCGTAAACGGCCGTCCATAAAAACTAGGTATGACCCCTCCATCCTTGTGTAATACCCCCTCTTGTCTCTTTTTTTCCTTGTTATCTTGACCTCCTCTTTCTCCCTTTTGGGTAGCATTATTTAGGGCGGGAGACTGCATAATCGCGAATTGGCATATGTGCAAACTGGCATAAGTGCGAATTGGCATAAGTGGGCCAAACAAAATTGCATTGGCATTAAGTGCGAATTGGCATATATTCGAATTGGCATATATGCGAACAACATTGGAATAAGTGTGAATTGGTTTATATGCGAATTAGCATAAATGCGAACCAGTTACAAAAACTGGCACAAATGCAAACTGGCATAAGTGCGAATTGGCATAAGTGCGCCGAACAAACGTACAAACATTGACATAAGTGCGAATTGGCATAAGTATGAACTGACATAAGTACAAAGCAGTTACAAAAACTGGCATAAGTGCAAACTGGCAAAACTGCGAATTGGCATAAGTGCGCAAATAAAATTTCAAATATTGGCATAATTGCAAATTAGTATTTCGCACTTATACCCATTTGCACTTATCCCAGTTCGCACTTATGCCAATGTTTGGACATTTATTTGGCGTACTTATGCCAATTCGTAGTTATGCCAGTTCGCACTTGTGTCAGTTTTTGCAACTGCTTTGCACTTATGCCAGTTTGCACTTATGCCAGTTTTTGCAACGCTTTGCACTAGTAAGTTCGCACATATGCCAATTCGCGCTTATGCCAGTTTGCGCTTACGCCATTCGCAAATATAACATTTATTAGTTACACAGGCCTGTAGAAATCGGGTGGGCAGAAGAGCCCTAATAATTTTTCAAAAATAAATAATTTTGAAGAAATTGACTGAAAAAATGACTTGAAAAAAAAAAAATCCTTAAAACTATTTTGGGGTAATACTGCCCCCCCCCCCCCAATATAATTTTTGTTCTTACGACCCTGTTACACCCATAGTGAAATTCTTTTATTTTAAAAATTCCTAGCATTCCTACAAAGAGACGCAATTTTAAACCATTCCTTTAAGTTCAGATTAACTCAAGCATAAGTAATATTTCAGAATGTCGGTCACGGCAACAGTTTGGGGGACGTCACTAAGGGAGGGAGGCACCTCTAGAAACTTTTTTTCTTTTGTGTGTCTTGACTGTGTTACAGGACACATTACTTGTTGACTGTTGACTGCATCAATTTTTTTAACTATAGTTATGTATAAAGTTATACTTTAAACCGTTCAAAAGATTACAAATATAACCAGCTTAGGTATATCTTGCATTTCTGAGGTAATTTCAGAAGTTGCTGTAGATAGCACAAAGAACTTCAAACTTATTAAAAATAATATCTTTACAACAACCTGAGTTTAATAAAAATACGGCAATAATTTGCTATCATCAAAGGATGAAAACGTTTTTATCATAACTTACCATCTAAAGATTCAAAGTTTCAAATATACTAATTATTTATTAAAATAAAAGATAAAAATAATAGTTATATGTAATCTTTTTTTTAGTTTTTTTTTGCGTATTTAGCCTAATATTTTGCAATATTTAGCCGAATACTAAATAATAAAAAAAGTAGCCGAATAGGCAGAATACCGAACAGCCACCAAATATTCGTGACACCTCTAATTTAAACAATAACAATTAACAAACAAATTTAGTGGCTACTATTGTTTTCAACACAAATAAACACTACTTGATAAATGCTCATATATGACTAAAATATTATTATGTTCGGCCATAACGCAGTGGTTAGAGCACTTGCTTTATATGCAAAAGATCCAGGGTTTAAAGAAAGCTCTGGGCATATTTAGCGTCATCGTAAGGAAGGAAGCTCTGTGACAAGACCGAAAGGTCTTCTTGGGGCACCTAAAACAAAAATTAAAAATAAAAATACCTATAATCAAATTATAATAAGATTTATTTAATTAAGCAACTAACTTATTAAACTAAAGATCAAATTAGAATCTTTTAATGTTGGCAATGTACACGCTAGTGAGCCACTGCGCAAATTTCTTATTTGATATTGTTTATTTATTTTGTTATCGGCTTCTGATGCTCAACCCATGACTCCGCCAGTTGATAAAAAAAATGTAAAACAATTTAAACCTGGTGTACTTTTTAAAACAGATGACATTAACCTTGGACCATTGCGAGCGCGACTTGCTATTGTATGTATTTCAAAGCAATTTTTAAATTTAAGTGAATAAATTTAATTGATTTGAAATTTATATAAAGCACTTATAAAGATTACTTAATTTGTTCATACCAAGATAAATTATTTAGATGTTTACCAAGATAAATTATTTTAATTTATTTTTTTGTTTTTGTTTATGTTATTAGTTTTTTCTTTGGTTTTTTGTTATATATATTTTGCTGGTTTTATAATAACAAATTACAAATAAAGGTTTAGATTACATAAAATTGATGTATAAAATACTGACAGTTATTCAAAGATATTATCGATGACTAATGTTATCGATAATTTTCATCGATAATTATTGATGACTAATGTTACCAAAATCTTTCATAGAACTTCTTTAACAATGATTTAAAAATTTAAAAAAAATAAAACTCCGTTACAATATACGATTTTTGTTATAAATATTAAAATCTTTAATCAAACTAGTTAACGATAAACAAATTATTAAGTAAAGATATAAAGATAAACATGTTTATAAATATAGGGTAATACGGGCATAAATTGACACGAGGGTTGAAACATATTATGTATGTACAGTTATATATAAGAGATAGGAGTATGTGAATATATACAACTTATAATTTTGAAAACTTATAAATATTACATTTGAAAATTTGATACTATTCATTTTGTTAGTCGTGGTTTATATTAAATCCCAGCGGGCATTTATTTTTAAAAGCTATGTTCTAAATGTATTTTAAATGTCTTTTAAACGTCTTCTAAACATTCTTACGTGAAGAACGTTTAAAAGACGTTTAAAAAACGTATAAAAGACGTTTAAAACGTAACTTTTTAAAGACAAATGCCCGTAGGGGTTCAAGATTGTGGTTTGGAGAAAATATCAACACAAAATAATAAGAAAAAAATGGCAGTAAGATATTTAGGGTAGAGTTTCCAAGATTGAAAGAGTGCCCTTATTGAAACATTTTATATTTGTTTTGTAAAATAAATGTCTTATGACATTTAGTTTATTAAATGTTTTATGGCATAAATAATAACATGTTTTGAAAATACTCAAATCAACCCTTAATTTATATACAGTTAATTTATGTCAAAAACCCTAAATTTATATACAAAAAGTCAACCATTAATTTATATCAGGACTGTGGAGTCGGAGTCGGATTCGGAGTTGCGGAGTTGCAACATTTTTAGCGGAGTCGGAGTCGCTAAACAAAATTTCGA